GGAGACAATGAGCGTGAGGACGTCAAGAAGCCAGTGCACGGCACATTCTCGGGAAAGTGGGAGGACAGTGAAGCCGAGACATCCTGAGGAGCCCTCGAGTGCAGCGGCCTCGCTCCGGGCAGCCCCCGCAGCTCTCCAACATCCTGCCACGTCCTCAACGCCCCCTCCTAATGGGCTTGGGGTCACAGGACCGAGTTACGACCCTGGCTCCTCCACTTACACCGCTGTGACCTCGTACAAAGGATGCTTTCCTCTTCAAGACTCAGGTTTCTAGTCTATAATAAGGATAATGTGGGGCCACAAGACCATCATAGGATACATCGATTAAAAGCTCAGAATGTTAGTCATTTTTCTTGTGGAGTAGTACCAGAATAACTTTAACGTTCGACTTCCTTGATGTGGCCCAAGACGTACAGGGTTCCCCCTGAATCTCTTCTCCTGGCTCTATATGGATGTCACATTCGAATCAGACATGGCTTCACCTCTGCGTTTCCACCCATGATGCTCCTCTCCGTTCAGAATGCTCTCCCTGCCCACCCAGCCTCCCACCTGTCACAGCCATCCACCTCTGTGCCTCTGGGTGTTCACAACACTAACAACCGAGCACGCATCGCTGCTCAGCCTGCCCAGGGGGAGGAGGCTTCCACCTGCAGCAGCTCCCCCACGGCTCCCTCTAACAGTCATCGTGCATGATCTGCTCTGCAGGATTTGACCTTTCTCCATGCTGAATTCACGTGCTGCTCCAGGGATGAGCACATGGCGCAGGCAATAAAGTTCTCATGATTCATTGAGATGTGGACACTTGGCAAAAGCAGGGTCAGTAAAAATCAGTCCTAGAACTTTGGTTACAATCATACTTTTCTCCACAGCTGAAGTGATGTTAATTCAGGGCTGCCAGTGCCCTGATGTATCATCTTCAAGAAGGAAGTGGACTTAAAATGAGCCAGTAAAGAGGAACCAAGAAGTAGATAGGGAGTGTCTGTGGCTCACACCTCTAATCCCAGCTACTCAGAAGACAGATCTGAGCATTGCAGTTGGAAGCCAGTCTGCACAGACAAATCTGAGAGACTCTTATCTCTAATCAATCAGTAAAAAGCCTGAAGGAGAGTTGTGGCTCAAATGGTATAATGCCAGCCTTGAGTGAAAAAGCTGAGTGAGAATGAAAGGCCCTGAGTTCTAGCTCCAGTACTGGCACATACCCTCCCCCCCACACACACACACAAAGAAATAAGAGGTTTCAGGCATGGCTCAGGTGGTAGAGCATCAGCCAATGAGCAAAAGCATCAGATACTGTTTCAGTTCCAGTCTCAGACCAAAAAAAGGAAAGGAAAAGAACCATATTCTTCATAATATTATTGGAGCATCCGAATCCATCCATGACTGAAGCCAGACACTCCTGACTTGCAAATTATTATTATTATTATTTTTTTTTTGGGTCCGGTCATGGGTCCTGAACTCTGGGCCTGGGCGCTGTCCCTCAGCTCTTCAGCTCAAGGCTAGCGCTCTACCACTTGAGCCACAGCGCCACTTCTGGCTTTTTTCTTTTTGCTTATGTGGTGCTGAGGAATCGAACCCAGGGTCTCAGGCATGCAAGACAAGCGCTCTACCACTGAGCCACCTTCCCAGCCCGTGACTTGCAAATTATTATGAGCCAAGAAACCCTATGCTATGGAAGTAGCGCTGTGGCTCAAGTGGTAGACTGCTAGCCTTGAGCTGAAGAGCTGAGGGACAGCACCCAGGCCCAGGGTTCAAGCCCCACGACCGAGAAAGAAAAGAAAAGAGACCCTAGGCTCTTTATTTTAATATATTTAAGCTAGTGTGAGTTGAGTTTCTGTCACTTATCTCTCCAAAGACTGCTGACAAATATAGTGACCCAACTGGACAGCAAGCTTTGTCAAAATCCCACCTCATGCATGCCAGGCCTTCAGCATGTCTTAGGCAGCTCAATACTGTAACACCTAACATAGGGATGATCCAAGAGCAGGTAAGAAATAAAGACATATATAGGCTGGGAAGGTGGCTTAGTGGTAGAGTGCTTGCCTAGCATGCATGAAGCCCTGGGTTTGATTCCTCAGTACCACATAAACAGAAAAAGCAGGAAGTGGTGCTGTGGCTCAAGTGGTGCTAGCCTTGAGCAAAAGAAGTTCAGGGACAGTGCCCAGGCTCTGAGTTCAAGCTCCAGTACTGGCAAGAGGGGGTGGGGAAGACATATAAATATCTCTGTATTTTCCTAATGGTGCAATGTTCCTTAGAATCAAAGTTCACAAGAACAAGAATCACATGACAGGCCCCTTGGATTTCTGTATGAAACAAACAAAGCTCTTAGCTGCTCTGCAGTTCCTCTGGAGATGACTGATGGCTCACTTTTGGAATGAAACTATCTAGGGTCCCCACAGGGCTGAAAGAGATATTTTGAGTCAAGTAATCTAACTGTTCTGGCATTCCCAGAGGAGGAAACAGATCTAACCCAAAAGGTCTTATTGAACACAGTGGAGAGACAAAGATAGAGTCAGGCAAGAACTTCCCACCCAGAACTCTGGCCTCTGGCATTCCATTTCCCAGAGAGCTCAAATATCTCTGAGCAAAATGCAGTAAACTTCTCAACTCTGCCAACTTCTCCCTGAGCCTCGGGGGTGAGGCAGGAACACCGGGGAGGGTGGATTCCGGAGTCAGGGGTGGCGGAACCTGGCATTAGACCTGATCACAGTGTGACTGAGTACGCTCAGGGTCCCTCTTTCTAAGACATAGGGAGAGAAGTTGGAAGGTGAAGGAGTTATTGCTAAGATCCCTGAATTTTGCTGATTACATGGAGGTTACCGGACAGTTAATCAAATCCCAAGATTAAACAAACCCACAGGGATTACAGAGAATTTAAAGGCTAAGAGATCAGGATCCCATCTGCAGACGTCAAATTACAGTTGATGAATTGGGGATGAGGGTATCTAGCTAAGCATATATTCTTTCCAGCTTGCCTTTAGGAGGAAAAAAAACAATAGACTGGAAACACACAATATCATTTTTCTGGGTACAACTGAAAATGAGAGTAGTAACTCATATCCCACAGATCTCCTTCTGCGCTATCTTCAAAGATTCTACAAGACCCACATCTAAGTTGAGTGGAGGGTGAGATGGATTTGGAACAAGACATTATTATTATTTTTGCTTGGTTGTGGGGCTTGAACTCTGGGCCTGAACTCGGAGCTGTCCCTCACCTCTTCAGCTCAGGTGAGCTCTCTACCACTTGAGCCACAGCTCGACTTCCAGTTTTCTGAGTGCTTTATTGGAGATAAGAGGCTCTCGGGGGCTGTGAAGGTGGCTTACTGGTAGAGTGCTTGTCTTGCATGCACAGGCCCTGGGTTTGATTCCTCAGCACCACACAAGCAGGAAAAGCCAGAAGTGGCATTGTGGCCCAAGTGGTAGAGCGCTGGCCTTGAGCTGAAGAGCTGAGGGACAGTGCCCAGGCCCAGAGTTCAATCCCCACAACAGACAAAAAAAAGAAAAAAAGAGTCTCACAGGCTTTCCTGCCAAAGCTGGCTTTGAACCATGATCCTCAGATCTCAGCCTCCTAGTATCTAGTATTATAGCCGTGAGCCACCAGTGCCAGGCTGAAACAAGACAGGAGAATGCTCACATCTGGAGATATATTTCCTTCCTTAAAGTAATTCTTCTAGAATTTTGGAGAGTTCTTCCAGTAGGGCAGTAAATCTTCCCCGTGTCTGTAAAGGCCCTCTGAGGCAGATCAGTCCTGTGACCTTGTCCTGTTCCTTGGCTTTCATCCCAAGTGGCAATTCCCAATATGATCACTTCTCATGTTCTCAACACGTGACCCTGAGCAATGTCAAGCCATTTCCAAAAATCACATTCCTCCTTGAAAAGATGGAGGCTTTCCCATCAGTGATGTTCAAATTCCCTGCAGTGCTCAAGTAGTGGAATCGCCAGGAAGTGATATAACACCTCCCTCTCTTTGGGAGGGTTAAACACTTGTTGAGTATTTGGAGGTGCTTAACATTAAAAGAAAAAACACTGTGATGCATGATCATCAGATATTGTCTTCTCTTCTCATCCCCGGAGAGCTCCACTGTTTCTTAGCCTCTACCAGTCTCCCTCCCACCTGGCCTCACTTCCCCCAGTCCTGCAATTAGGCAAATACCCAGGTTGCTGAGTCTTCAAAATCATTCTTCAATCGAAAAATGGGCGGGGGCAGGGGACTCTAATGGATCCTGGTAAACTGTCTCAGCATTTCTCATTCCCAAAAGGTCCTTCTCTGAATCTGAGGAAGAGATGACTAAGTCTGAGACAAATATTCCAGAGGATCTCAGAGACTCACTCGCATTGGGCATGGCATGAGACCCTCCCTGCATAGACCAGGGCGTCCTTGGACAGGTGGAGACCTCCCCTTCCTAGCCCCCCACAGCCTGGTACTGGCAGCCATGCACTGGATAGACACCAATACACAGCTTCCTCCACCCTTTCTAGGAGACTCAGCACAGATACTTTCCTCTGTCCTGTTGAGGTCATCCCTGATGGTTTACAGATGAGGAACTCAAGCTTCAAGAAAGTAATGTGAACACCTAACTCGATTATATTGGAGGTCCAACCAGATCTCTAGATTCTCTATCTCACAGTGAGCTCTGTGTGTGTGTGTGTGTGTGTGTGTGTGTGTGTGTGTGTTTCAGTATAACAGAAATTGATTACCCCTAAGAACATCTATTTCATTCAGAACAACGTCTCCACAAAGATGGCCAAGGGAGACCCTCAGGGACGCTGACAGAATGCTAACCCACCAACAAATGCGCACGGGCCCACGTGTCCAGGTCCCAGGCTCCCACCCTAAGGTGTCTCTCTGTCATTGAGTCTCAACGACAGCTTCCCCCAAGCGCTGCCCGGGGCTGGCCAAGGAGTGAGGCGACGCGGGGGAGCAGCGTCTTCCTCCGACTGCTCCAGGGAGTCTCCCCCGCTCCAGCGCCTCTCTCTGGGGGCTGCGCGCGCACCTTCCCTACCTGCCAGGAGCTGCATCCAGGCGCAGATCTTGTAGACCGTGGCGGTGTTGCAGAAGAAGAAGAGCGCGAAGCAGGTGATGCAGCCGAGGGTCAGGACCATGGACAGCAGCACGAAGAAGGCGGCCGCCTTGAAGGCGCCGGACGGGATGGTGCTGAAGTCGGTGAAGGAGCCCCGGCAGGTGAGCTCGCGGCCCGCCAGCCCGGTGCCCACGCAGTAGTGGAAGAGGCCGAAGTAGCCAGGCTTGGGGGTGCTCACGCTGTCGCCCACCCAGTAGGGCTGGATGAAGACCACCACGTTGATGATGGCGAAGCAGATGGTGAAGATGGCCCACAGCACGCCGATGGCTCGCGAGTTCCGCATGTAGTGCTCGTGGTAGAGCTTGGAGGCCTCCTGCGAGGGCAGCATGGTGCCCGGGGGCGGGGCGGGCGGCTGGCAGCGGGGGGGGGGTCCGGCCCGGGACCCACCGACCACCGGGACCACCGACACCGACCTGGGCCGCCGGGAGCTGGGGACGCACGCGAGAGGCCGCCCTGAGTCCCGGCACCGGCGAGGGCGGGGCCTGGGGCGGAGCTGGGGCGGGAGGGGGGCTGGCAGGGGGGCGCCCCCAGGGGGTCGTGAGTGTCCGGGCGGCGTCGGGGGGGGGACCGGCCACGACCTCCTGTTGGGGGGAGGGGCAAGGCAAGGGCCACGAGGGAGTTGGGGGCCAGGGGTGAGGATATGGGGGGGGGGGTGTAGAAAGTGCTCCCGGGGAGTTGGAGGGGGCCGGCGCCCGGGCGCGGGCCGGGGGTCCGGGCGGAGGCCGCGGGGCGCGGCGCGGGAGCCCGCGGGGCGGCGGGACGCCGGTGTTAGGGGTAGGGTCTGGAGGGGGCGGCGGCGGGCGGCGCGGGCGCGGCGGGACCCGGCCGGGCTGCGCGGACCGAGGGCAAGGTGGCCGGGTTAGGGCGACGCCAGGCTGGGGTTGCAGGGTCCGGACCCGGGGCGCGGTGCGGGCGTCCCGCGCACCCTGGCCGGGTGCGGGCCGGGGAGGGGCCTTCCTGGGCCCGGGAGACACGCGGGGAGCAGGGCGGCCGGGGCCTCGGGCCGAGGTGACAGAGGCGCCCCGGGGCGCCGGGAGCGGCCGGGGCCGGGTGGGGGTGCCCGCCCTGCGCCCAGGCCGGTGCGCGCGGAGGCTGCGGCCGGAGGGGCCCGGCACGGGGAGACAGACCCACCTGGGCCCGGTCCGGGGCAGCAGGTCCGGGGGCTGGCACGGCCTAGGCGCCGGGGCTCGGCGCTCCGAGCTGCGGCTGCCTGGGCCCAGGCGGCGGCGGCGGCCTCCGCGAGGCCTCCATCTTGCTCGGGTTCTCCCGGCGCGCGCTCCCGGGCCCAGGCGCGCGCTCGTGTCCGGCGCGCGCTCGTGCTCCGCGCGCTCCCGCGGGCCGGCAGGCACAGCCGGGCAGACCTGGGAAGGGGCGCTCGGGCCCTGCAGCCGGAGGGGGGCAGGGGGAGGGCTTCGTCCCAGGGACCCTCCCCAGCAGGACCCCTGGTTTCTGGGACTCACCCCTTCCGGCCCATGGGAATGGAGGGGGACCCGACCTGACGTTTGGACGGAACACCTGGTGCAGCGCCTGAAGTCGGGCCATCACGCACGCTTCTGGTCGGTTGGGTCATGGAGATGTTGAAGGTTCCCTGAGTCTCCCAGGAAACTGCCAAATACCCCTGGGAGAGGGAACCCCCATTCCCACCGCCCCCCCCCCCCCGAAACCGTTAGCAGCCAGCTCCTGATCCTGGGAATCAGGAGCCAGGTGAGTACCGAGGGACCGGGAGCCCAGGGTCTGGGAGCTGTGGCTCCCCCTCTCCCCATGGTCCCCAGCATCCGCCCTGAGCCCGGCATGAGCAGCCGAGGGACGCTCCAGGGAAGCACTTGGAGTGCTGCGTGGTGGCTGAGGATCTGTCGAGATGAGCTGTGACGACTGCCATCTCTGTGACCTTGCACGCGTGCTTTCTGAATGTTTCCTCGACATCTGCCATGTGAACAAGTGAAGCCCCTCACTTCACGTGTGTGTGTGTGTGTGTGTGTGTGTGTGTGTGTGTCTGTTAGTGAGTCCCAAACCCTGGATGCACACAGGGGCAGGTCTGCCAAAATAGAATCATGTAAGGTTGTCTAATTCTTTTTCTGAGATTGTGACATTACTGAGGAAATCCACTTCTTTTAGGAAATAGTGGTGACAAGCCGGCGCTGGTGGCTCACACCTGTAAGCCTAGTTACTCAGGAGGCTGAGATCTGAGCATCAAGATTTGAAGCCAGCCCTGGCAGGAAACGTCCATGAGACTCTTATCTCCAATCAACTACTCAAGAAAAATAACAAAAGTGGTACTGTGGCTTAAGTGGTGGAGCACTAGCTTTGAGCACAGAGAGTCCCTGAGTTGAAGACCCAGGACTGGGAAAGAAAGAAAGAAAGAAGGAAGGAAGGAAGGAAAGAAAGAAAGAAAGAAAGAAAGGAAGGAAGGAAGGAAGGAAGGAAGGAAGGAGGGAGGGAGGGAGGGAGGGAGGGAGGGAGGGAGAGAGGGAGGGAGGAAGGGAAGGAGGGAGGGAGGGAAGGAAAGGTGGTGATAGCTGATGGGAGCTTTTTTTTTAATGTCCTTAAAAGAATCAAGCACCCTAGTTTCAATCCTCTGTGGGGGAGGGGGAGGGAAAAGGGGGGTTGTGAGGCTTGAACTCAGGGCCTGGGCGATATCCCTGAGCCTCTGTGCTCAAGGCTAGTGCTCTACCATTGAGCCACAGCACTACTTCTGTTTTTTTTTTCTGAGTAGTTTGTTGGAGATAAGAGTCTCATGGACTTTCCTGCCAGGGCTGACTTCAAAGTGTGATCTTCAGATCTCAGCCTCCTGAGTGGCTAGGGTTACAGATGTGAGCCCCCAGCACCCAGCTTCAATCCCAGTTTTCAAGAAGAGAAATTAGGGGTCCATGAAATTCCACATGTGGAGAACTCAAAGTCACATGAATTCAATTACATGGAGCCTGAGCACAGGGTACTCAGTGGGTCTGGCTTTCAGATCCACTGTCTTTGGAGATGGTGTTCTGGTGTCTTCTGAGAGCTATGCCAGGATGCTGAGCTGGAAGCCCAGGAATGTCTTCTTCTACATTCTCTCCTACTTTACAGATGGGGAACAGGAGCCAGAGAAGAAAATGGACCAATCACAGTTCGAAGCCAGCACAGGCAGGAAAGTCTGTGAGGCTCTTTTCTTCAAAACTCTGGAAGTAGAGCTATAGCTCAAGTAGTAGAGCGCTAGCCTTACATTTCTTTTTCGTTTTTCTTTTCTTGTTGCTGTGAGACTGAGACTTGAACTCAGTACCTGATACTTTGGTCACTGGCTGGTACGCTACTAACTGAGCCAAGCCTCCAACTTCAAGAGCACTAATCTTGAGCAAAAAAGCTCAGGGACAAGCACTCAGGTTCTGAGTTCAAGTCCTTAGGACTGGCACAAAAAATAAATTAGGGCTGGGAATGTGGCTTAGTGGTAGAGTGTTTGCCTACCATGCATGAAGCCCTGGGTTCGATTCCTCAGTACCACATACACAGAAAAGGCCAGAAGTGGCGCTATGGCTCACGTGGTAGAGTGCTTGCCTGGAGCAAAAGAAGCTCAGGGACAGTGCCCAGGCCCTGAGTTCAAGCCCCAGGACTGGCAAAAAATAAAATAAAAACGAATTAATCTTCAAGTAGTTGTATAAAGGGGTTTCAATTTAACATGCTCATTTATGTGTACCATGCTACCAGTTTCCTCTCCCATCATTTTCCCCACTGTCTGCCCAATGCTGGGGTTTTTGAAATAAAAGAATGCCTGAATAAGTGAGCTACTCCTTATGTACTAAAACCAAAAGACAATAATCTGAGGCCCATCTTTGCCATTAGATAACTTCTTTTTTCACTCAGTGCTGGTACTCTACTACTTGAGCCACACCTTCTTTTTGCTGGTTAATTGGAGATGTGTCTCTCAGATTTGTCTTCCCAGGCTGGCTTCAAACTGTGATCTTCAGATCCCAGCCTCCTGAGTAGTTAGGATTACAGGCATGAGCCACCAGGTGCCTAGCTTGTGTGTTTATTCTTATATGCCAACTCCACATTTCCTTGAAGGAAGAAATGGCTTTAGTATTTTATTTATTTATTTTTTTTGGTCGGCCGTGGGACTCTGGGCCTGGGCGCTGTCCCTCAGCTCTTCAGCTCAAGGCAAGCGCTCTACCACTTGAGCTATAGCGCCACTTCCGGTTTTTCTGGTGGTTATTGGAGATAGGAGTCTCACGGTCTCTCCTGCCCGGGCTGGCTTTGAACCGCGATCCTCAGATCTCAGCCTCCTGAGTAGCTAGGATTACAGGCGTGAGCCACCAGCGCCCGGCTATGGCTTTAGTATTTTAAATCTTTTTTTTTTTTTTGTCAGTCATGGGGCCTGACCTCTGGGCCTGGGCACTGTCCCTCAGCTCTTCAGCTCAAAGCTAATGTTCTACTACTTGAGCCACAGCACCACTTGCAGCTTTTTCTGCTTGTGGTGCTGAGGAATCGAACCCAGGGCCTCATGCATGCAAGGCAAGCACTCTACCACTGAGCCACCTTCCCAGCCCCCTACTATTTTAAATCTTAACACCATAAGTTGTTGCTTGTGTGCAGATGTTTCACTGTATGTGAAGTGTGAAATGTGGTCTGTTATACATGATCATCTTTCCCATTTAAGATCATGGGAACAGGAATTCCTTAAGTACTGTTTTCAGACGGAGCATTTCTTTTTTTTCTTTCTTCTTTTCTTTCTTTTTTTGTGTGGGTCTTGGGGCTGTGCACTGTCCCTCACTCAAGCCACAGCTCCACTTCCAGCTCTTTTGGTGGTTAATTGGAAATATGAGTCTTACGGACTTTCCTGCCTTGGCTGACTTCGAACCATAATCCTCAGCTTCTTGAGTAGTTAGGATGAGAGGTGTGAGCCACTGGCTCAGAGCACTGATTTCTAACATAGATTACTGGTGGTAAGCAGGAAGTGCCTGAATTTTATTCCTATCATTTGTTTCTACCCTTGCATTTTAAAGTGTTTTTTTTGGGGGGGGGTCCAGTAGTGGGGCCTGAACTCTGGGCCTGGGCGCTGTCCCTTAGCTCTTCAGCTCAAGGCTAGCGCTCTACCACTTGAGCCACAGCGCCACTTCTGGCTTTTTTCTTTTTGCTTATGTGGTGCTGAGGAATCGAACCCAGGGTCTTAGGCATGCAAGGCAAGCGCTCTACCACTGAGCCACCTTCCCAGCCCAACCCTTGCATTTTAAAAACATGCATAATTAACAGAAGAGCTGAAATACATGGAGATCTCTACTCCTGCCCAGAAATGGATCTGAATACAATACTCTTCCATTTTCATTATCATCGTTGACTATTTTCAGTTGCAACTTCTAT